CCCACTCTCCCCGCCCGGGCGCCCCGTGCTCCGCCGCCGCGGTGGCCCAGCTGCAAATAAACAGCGGTCCCCCCGCCTCCCCGGGCCATCGCCGCCGCCTCCGCCCACTGCGCATGCCCGCTCGCGCGCCTCCGCCTCCTGGATCCCGGGACCCAAGGTCCCTAACACCTGGCCTCCGCCCGCGGGCGCCGGGTCCCAAGCGACTAGAGCGCGCACAGGTGGAGCGGGGGCGCTGCTGGGCTGGGGGTGCGGGGAGTGGCATGCGGGAAGGCCACTCGGGGTCCCTCAGGGTACGCCCAGCTGCTCTCCCAGACCTATCCCCAGTCCATCTCAGTCGCGGAGGGACAGGTCTCCGCCGCCTCCTGGCTGCGAGCCGGGATGCTTAGCAGGTGCGCTGTCTGCACCCCAATACCGTCTCTCCCCAGAGAAGCTAGAGATTAGACACCCGCAGAACAGCGCGAGGACACGCTCCAGCGCCCGCAAGGCTTGAAGCCTTACACCGCGTTGCGCCCCAACCCTGGGAACGCACGCAGCGGTCCCTTCCACGAAGCTGAGGGGTGCATGCCAGGCTGTGGACTACCTCCTTGCAGTATTGCGCTGCTGCTGCTGCTGCTGCTGCTGCTGCTGCTGCTGCTGCTACGGTTTACAATAAGCCCTGGGTTTGATTTTTTATTTCCGTCCGGCTGACTCTTCCTTTTGTTTTTCCTTTAAACTCTTAAGCAATGAGAGTCGCCGAACACATCACTTCTGGCTTTCTTTTGGTTTTGGTTTTGAGACACTGCCTTACTCTGTCGCCCTCTGGCATTGGTTATGGAAGGAGCCAGGCTGTCTTCCTGCCTCAGCCTCTCTGGCCCAGCTACTTTACCTGCTGTCTTACTGGATATCTTGGGTGTGACTATTGTCTCTTGAATAGTGCATGCAAGACTGCCCCAGCCCTGTCAATACAAATTAAAACTGCAGACGCCCTGGCACTGCCTCTGACTCAGAAACTTCCTGTCTTTCCCGAAACTGTGCTACTTTTGAATGCCAATCACAATATGTAAATAAATGAGGTGTTCCAGAGTAACACCCGAATTCCCCTAGAATTGAAAAGTCCGTTAATTCTTTCAGGCCGCTTATGAACTGACGTAGCTTTATTACTGAAGTTAACTGAGATTTCCATACATCCAGACCACAAACCTCAAAGTAAAGTCACCATTGAAACAGACAGACAAACAATGACAACCAATAAAAAAAAAAAAAAAAAAAAAAAAAAAAAAAAAAAAAAAAAAAAAAAAAAAAAAAAAAAAAAACTTTGGACAAGAGAGAAAAGAAAATTGAAACATAAAGGAGAATTTGTTCTTTGAGCCTTCCAATGGCTCCTTAATTTTTTAACACCTGAGCACTTAATCAATAGTTCTCAGATTAACAGGAATGCAGTCCAAGACATGACAACCCATTTTACCTTTTTTGATGTATTATTTATTATTGGTGAATTAAAATTGGTGTCAGAGAAGCAAAGCTGAAATCCTGAGCCTAGTGATGGCTTTACCAGAATATCTGGTCCTCAGTGGCTGCTCTAGCCAGACCCCACACACCTGTGTTTTAGCTTCCTCTGTAGTAATAAAAAAAATGGACTTACCTGGTACACACTGTGCTAAGGAAAGGTGGAGGCACAAGGCTGCTCATGTTCTCTCTCTCTCTCTCTCTCTCTCTCTCTCTCTCTCTCTCTCTCTCTCTGTGCGTGCATGCGTGCGTGCGTGTGCGTGTGCGTGTGCGTGTGCGTGCGTGCGTGCGTGCGTGCGTGCGTGCGTGCGTGCGTGTGTGTGTGAGAGAGAGAGAGAGAGAGAGAGAGAGAGAGCGCAAGAGGGAGACCATGTGTGAGAGACTGACTTGTATCCGTGTGTGTGACGATAGATGTATTATGTGAGAGACTATGTGTGTGAAACTGTGTGTGAGAGAGACAGAGACTGTGTGTGTGGTAGACTCTCTGTGTATGTGTGAGAGAGACTGACTGTGTGTTGGGAGCACTAAACAATACAAGAGGGACATTTCCCAACCATAACTGGCTCTCTAAAACAGTAGCAGCAGAGCACTGCCCCATGGAAATGGTCACTGGTGATAGGCCAGTGTGTGTGTGTGACGCACAAGAGCTATCTAGGGACAATGCCCTAAACCCAGGAGAGACTCCAAAAACAGATTCTATGGCAGTTCACTTCATCACAGCACTCATGCTACCTTCTCAAGAGGAATGCTGCCCCATCTCAGCAGTTTGAGTTTTTAGGTGGAACAGAATCAGGGCTGTCAGTGATGGTGACCTCGCTGGAGGGTGACTGGAGCTGAACCTGCAGAGAGAGGAAAGAAGCATTCGGGAAGCAGAGACTGTCCCCCAGTTTCCGTGACATTTGCACTCTTTACTTCAAATGTTGGATGTGAGGTCCATTCAGAATCAAGATGTTCCCTGACTTACAAGGTTCAGCCTGGAGCCTTCCAGTTTGGCAGTGGTGGAGAGCCATGCGCCTCACAGAAACCAAGCTTTGAGAGTTGGGTTTGGTATTCCTGAAGCTCCAGGAAGCCCCACTGACACCGTGGTGTTCAGGTTAAGCTTGAAGTTCCACAGGTTGGAAGTATTAAATGTGTTTCGACGTATGACATCTTCAATGCCCAACACATTGGTCACAACATATATTGTGAGCCCGGGAGCACCTGTAGGAAGATTCTCCTGGAGCCCCATTTCCTAACCCAATCAGCTCCGTGCCATAGAGTGCCGGTATCAGGCAGCACCAGCCACCAAGCTGGCTGCTCCTCTCTCAAGGTACAAAACACTCAACTAATAAAGGGGCTCAAAAGTAAATTAGATATAATATCATATCTTGCTACTTAGTCTCCAATTATTGTTAAGATCTTGATAACTGCAGGAATACTACCTTCTAAGATATCTGTGTCCACCCAGAGCCATCTAAAACAAACAATCCTAGAAGTGCCCTTGAGGCTCAGACAGAGTCATTTGTACACATCTCAAGAACAGGATTCCTGAACACTAGAAATAAATCAAAGGCAAGTCAACATTTTAATAAAACTGATTTCAAATTAACTACAAAGATTCTTTGCTTTGCCAAACCTTAGTGAGACTTCATAAGCTTATCCTAGGACCCTAGATTATATGCACTGCCCTATAAAATTCAATTTTAGCAAAGAGACCTCTTAAATTTGATGATCGTGAATATCTGATCAGGTTTATAGTCACCATCCACTCAACAGTGTCTGACCACCCGGACTACAGAATTATCCTGGCAGATCAGTTCAGACAGAAACTTCTTACAGCTGTTATTTTCCTTCATACTGTGATAAAACACCCAAGAGCTCAACCTAAGGGAGAAAGGACTCATCTGGGCTCCCAATGTAGCCCAGTGGCCAGGAAAGGCAGAGAGGTGAAAAAAAAAAAAAAAGTGGAAAGACCTTGCTCGAATCCAGATGAGCAGGAAGCAGAGGTGGGATAGCAGGTAGGAAGGCTGGCCCCATTGGCCCACTTCCTGCAGCATGGCTCCACCTCCTAGAGGTTTCTCATCTGCAGGAGCAGCACCCAGCAATCAAACAATTGGGGGGGGGTATTTTGCATCCAGAGCACAGCACCTTCTTAACTCTGATATGGTATTTTAGCAATACCCCCCCACTGACACTCCACACCTCTCCCTGCACACACGCAGTTGGCTCCTGAATATCAATTCCCACTCAGCTCCTGGCTGCATTCAGGGTTGAGCCTGATCCCTTTTCCCACAGCAAGATCTTGTTGCCATGGTTCTATGCCTGTCACCATTATCCAGAATAAAGTCAGCCTGACTGTGTTTTAACAAGTATCATTCAATAATTTGTTTTTCCTTGAATAAGGTCCACTGTGATTTTTTTCATCCTAACAATACTCCCTAATCAGGTAGGTTATATACAGGAGATCAAGTGCAATGTTACAAAGGCAGAAATTTAGCAAAATGATTGACAACAATACTTTAAAATATTAATTTTTAATGTTTAGTAACTTAAATATTATCTCTTCTTCAAGACAACGCTGTAAGCAGCAGTGCTCCCAGACTTACCCAATACCTGGCAGTGTGGAGAGCAGTCTGGGATGTCTGCAGTAGCAGCTGTGGTCTTCCTGGGTCCCAGACTGGTGGCTGCAGAGATTGCATCCCCAGGAGATAAGATGGACATGGAGGTAAACTGGCTTCCCTTTCCATCCCTGGGGCTATACAACAGCTTCACATAGCAAACAGGAACATGTCTCAAAAACATCTGTTATCTTTAACATTCCATCACTTGGACAGCAAACCTTGTCACCCTGCTCCAACAAGACAAAAGTACACATGTGAACATTGCACTGAATACCCTTTTCCTCCTGTCCTTTTTGACTTTATCTGGATCTACACAATAAATGGCAGATTAACAGGAAAGGCTATAAACTGATTTAATATATTATTTGAAAGACCCAGGAGACATACAAAAATGAAGTTGAGCCTGGTATATATATATATTTTTCACTATCTTTTATGTGAATAGATGCTGTGGGATGTTCTGTATGTTAAATTGTTGCTCTGATTGATTAATAAATAAAACACTGATTGGCCAGTAGCCAGGCAGGAAGTATAGGTGGGACAAAGAGGAGAATTCTGGGAAGAGGAAGGCTGAGGCAGAGAGACACTGCCAGCTGCCACCATGACAAGCAAGATGTAAGGTATTAGTAAGCCACGAGCCACGTGGCAACTTATAGACTAATAGGAATGGATTAATTTAAGATATAAGAACAGTTAGCAAGAAGCCTGCCATGGCCATACAGTTTGTAAGCAATATAAGTCTCTGTGTTTACTTGGTTG